AGTTTCAAGTTTGTTTTTCCTCTCTTTCTCCATCTCATTCTGTACAGTGACAGGAGCATGCTTTCAGCACAGGGAGCAAGCAGAGAGCCTGCAGGTATAAATGGACCTGCACTCAGAGTCTGAAATATACTGCACTACACATGTGGCTGTTCTTGGAAGTCAACCATTTCTGCAAGTTATTCTCAAGAGGCATGATGTACTACAAGCACTTAAGAAATGTGTTACACTGTGACTGGAACCAAGATGAAATAGCAATATTAAAAGAGATGGTTTAGTTTATGTAGTGGCCAACTATGCCATTAAACTCGAACAATGGGGATGATGGGGAGGCAGGAATGTTCTCCAGTGTGATTTATTCCTTTCCAGTAGCAGTGGAAATTTTTCCTATAGGCCTGAAAATGACCCTGTCTGCCAACAAGAAGTCAGCATTAAGATGTAAGAGTTCTGCTAGATTAGTCACCTCAGGATACTCTGCTCTCATGCAGAACAGGGATCTCAAAGCTCTTTGCCAGAATGGGTCAAAAGGCCTGCAAAGACCATGCCTTAGGATCCTTGTTGCTGGTCACTTCAGAAAGCGGGAAAATGAGGCTTGAAGAATTGATTAAAAATATGTAAAGAAGGCTCTACGTCAGAGTCAAGAGTGAAACAAAGGCTTCCTTGATCCTATGCTTTACAGGAAATGTGCATCTTCCTTGGAAGGGTAATTGTTTACTGCAGCTGAGAGCAGCTTGGTCAGCCAAGGCAAAAGGAAATGTTAGTGTGCAATGGTTATCAGGCAAACAATATAATGCCATTTCCACTTCTGCCAGCCAGTGTGACCTGTTCTGCCTGATGACACATGTGGGAAAGGCTGGCTCCTTGAGAAGCAGCCTGGGTTTGGCACCTAAGTCCTGCCGATTTCATACACCTGCAACAGCTACACACATGGTGACCCTGTGCATCTACCTGCTCTTCTGTGCTCCTGTGCTCTCACACTATGGGAATTGCCATACTAGAGGCTGCCCTATGTCCCCCATAGAATATAAAGAGAGGCTCAAAATGTCTCCTGGTAAGACCTTTTCTCCACACAAGGACAATAAGTGCACAGTCCTCCAAACGGCCTATGGAGAATAGGGATGGTTTGAAAGGAAGACATATACCTACCACAAAAGATGCCTTCTGCACACTGATCTTTCAATTACCCCCCAAATGACATTGAGAAATCCAAGCAAGAAGAAGAGAATGAAGCCCCATGTCCATCCCCTCCCAATTGTCAGCCCTGCTACCCACTCTTTGCAGCCTGGCACACTGAGAGTGGGACCACGTGCAGCTGCACAGGCTACGTTCCTCATAGTTGCCTCCCCCAAAAACAGCCTCCTACCCACTTCCTTCCTCTGCAGAGTAACAAGGCGCTCTTCAGCCTCATGCTGTCTCCCAGCAGTCTGGTTCCAATCTCAGGGATGCCACATCAGACAGCTAACCCCAAGCAACAGCATATGTGGCCAGAGGTCCTCCCGCTGCACCACAGCAGACACGCAGGTGCTGAAATCTCACCCTACCCTGGTCCTAATCTGCAGTCAGCTCAAAGGGACAGAGACCAACAAAGACTGTTCAATCAGAGCCAGCATGAAGCACCATGCAGAAAACACACAGATCCTGAGATATCAACCAGCTGAGGTACAGCAAACATCTTTTTCCAACACGCAGAGCCCACCTCTTTCTTTAATCTCTTGGTGCTGTGGCAGCTCAACAGTGCTGTAAAGCTAAGCAAAGACTAAACAAAGTTCTCTGTCTCCTGATGAAGTTGTGTTATGAATTACTCATTAGATCCTGACCTTCCCACTCCAAGATAAAATCCTCCTGACCTCAAAAGTGTTTTGCCTGAGGGAGTACACCCAAGGCTGACATAGTGAAGCTAAGCTTTTGCTGCCTGAAAAACAAGCCCTCCTTTCCCAACACGTGTTTTAAAATAAGGTGAAATACATCATGGATTCAATTCCAGCTTCCACTTCAGGTATTTTCGCTTTCACAATGTAAACTACGTTCAGGGTGCAGCAAGGGGGTTTTTGTTTGTGTTTTTTCCTCCTAAAAAAGAAGGCTACACAAGAGATGACAATCTCTTCCTACACAAAATCTGTTTGTTTTGTTCATATTGCAGGGCTGCTCTCATTCAACTCCAATGCTAATTGTCAAAAGCAGAGATACCAAACTTGCTCACATTTCTCTTGCAGTGGGAAGGAAAAAAGGCAGAGATCAGCTGACTGCATGCAAGCATCTAGCAACCTGCCTGTGCTGTCAGTGCCCTCCGTGAACGACGGGTGTTTCACAATCGGAAATATGAGCAACTGCCTCAGCTGCGTAGTTCTCAGTCAGCAGCTACAAAAGCGTGGTCCAGACTCAGAAGAAAAGGAAGACAAGACTGTACAATCACTTTCACCCCAAGGCATGCTCTGATTTTCAGTGGGGCAACTGCATCTTTTATGGTGTCACAGTAGATGCCATTTCTAAGAGCAGAAACTGGCATGGACTAACCTCTCCACATCAAGCACTAGGAGCTGCTAATCACAAAGAAACTGGAGCTTACAATGTGACAAGGAAGCCTGCTCTTGACCCACACAAATACTTCCCCCTTTTTAAGAGACTGAAATAATCTCCCAGGGTGTTGCTTTGCTGCTGAGAGAAACTCTGCTCTGGAGCCTCTGTGGAGCTTGGGTATGCTTCATGGGAGCAGAAGCAAGACCCATTCAAGTGTTTTCACACTTCCCAATTCTGATGCTTCCCGCAGGGATCAGTCACTGCCCTGTCAGCTTTCTTCCCCAGGGTCTCAACTGCAGCCTGACAGTTTAAAGGGATACCTTTAGGAACACACACACATCCCTTGTCCCAAAGTTGCTACGGTTTGCCTAAAATAAATAAATCCCCAAGACCTGGCTACATTTGCATGTGATTCAGAAGAATGAAATTGGGGTCTCTGTGTCAGTGGGTCTGCCAAGCCTGCGTGACAACATGCTCTGTATAGCCAGCTTCAGCTGTTCCCACCACCACCACATCGGTTTTGCTGCTCATTGCTTGCAAGAAGAGCCCAGGCAGCAACAGGGGAATAAAAACAAACTGTAAATACAGGATGTATTATGAAACATCAGGCACCGGTTGCAGGATTTGAGAGGAAATGAGGGAAAATGTAATAAATTATTTTCAACTTCTCTTTTCAAACATATGTGAAGAATCAGAAGGGTTTAAGCAGGAAAGTGTGAGTTTAAATTTCACAATAGTAACAGTGGACTTGGGTAGGTACATTGTACTGTATAAAACTGCTGCTCTTCCACACATAAAAGAAGGCAGCAGGAGACAGAGTATCACACACAGTACTGCCTAAAGCATGCTGGCTATGTCAACAGATTATCTCGCTTTGGACTGTCTGGACTGTTACTAATATGCAACTGAATATGCAACCAATCCAACAATAACAATGCTTCGAAATTATTTCTTTTTAAAATGAAATTATATTAACCTCTTCTGTTTAATTAGCATGTTAAAAATATAAAAGGAAAGCAGATGTGACCACCATGGATGTGCAAGCTGAATATTAATACAAAAAGCATGCCCTCCCCCTTGGTGGATAAAGCAAAGTTGGATCAGTCATTTTGCAAATTAAATCCTGAGAGTGTTCTCACTGTAGCTGTCAATAAACCTCTGGTGTGTTTGCATGTACACACACAAAGCTGAAGCCAAAACAATTTTACTGGGGTAAACCTTTAGAGACCCAGCCCCAGTCCAGCTGGATGACAATGCTACAGCCGAGTGCTCCCCTGCAGCCCTACCGTCCACGTTTCTCCCCACACACACACTTCTAAGGAAAAATTAAATGAACATCCCAAGCTGTCGCTTACTGGAGACCCAACACACACCACCCTCACACTAGCCAAGACTAAGGTGACTGCTGGCAAGATGAAATCCAGTGGCTCGTTATTCTTATACCGACAGTGCCACGGGTCCGTGCACTGCATTAGCGCCACATGTCATCCCAACCACACTCCACTATTCCTACCCACCACGAGATTTTTTTTAAAGAGCCACTAGTTTCCAGGATTTCACCCAGTATATCACTTCTGCCAGAAAATCACAGCAAGAAACAGGATTCACAACATCCTGCCATAAGAAATCCTGACTTTCCTTTTCCCTCAGTATCCTAGCTGGTAACTACTCATAAATCTATGCATTTGGGCTCACAGTTCATTTCACACAACTCTTTTCCTTGTAACCTACTCTTCTCCTTGGTCTTATTTATTCACACCACCAGTCATCATCTTAATGCATTCATAATACTTGATTTCCATCTTTATCTTAATTCTGTCTGCATATGAACCCTACAGTGCCTCAAAACACACTGGTTTACTGGAACCAGCCTAAGGCGTCATTGTTTTAAGATACAGCAAGAAGTGTCTCTCCCCACCTTCTAAACCAAAGAAGAATAAAAAAGAATGAAAAATAAGTCACCTCCCTAGTTACAGAATTTAGCCTAAAACCTTTTGCTAGTGCTTTCACACACCTGCCCACCCTCCATCTCTATTTTAAGCTACGATTTTTATTGACATATACTAATTACCTGAAAATAAGAATGATCTATTCCTTTCCCACCAGCTGCTAGATGTCAGCACTGGCTGGAAGTGATCAGCCTTGTTTAAAAGAACAAAAACAACAACCACAAAAAGATCTAAGCTCAAAAATAAGATGAAAACACCCTAAAAACAAAAGCCCAAAGAATGCCACCGGATCTCAGGTGCTGCCGGGTGTGCTCAGAAAGGACTAAAGGCAGACAGATATGAATGGACTGCTCAGTTTGTCATGGCAAAAAAAATACAGAGATTTAAAGGTCTACCCACGCAGAAAAAAACACAAAAAGAACCACCAAAAAAATCCCCAACCCTGAATCAAAGAACAAAAATAAAGTCATAAACGCAGCCCCAATGCATCGACTGTCTGCGCTTAAGAGATTTACAGGAGTAATTTAAATGGTTCACCTGCTGCCAGTTTTCCTCCAAGGATGGCAAAGCTGAGAAGTAGCCGGTGTCGTGGACAAGCTGGAGTTCCTGGAATATACTATAACTAGCCAAGACATCCATGCTGCTGCTGAGCAAGACCCTCTCTTTCTGCTTTTGTGTGTGTTTGTTTGCTCGGGTGGGGGGGTTGTTTTTGATCACAAAAAAAAAAAAGGAGGAGGAAAATCGACCAATGATAGATCCAGCGTCCCTTTGGCTTTGTTTTGTTTCAGTCACACTT